AAGCTCCTCTCTCATATGTGCGGGTTATTTGCGTTTTGTTTCAGTTACGGTATTGTGCCTCTTTATCTCTCTTACTTACGCCTCTTTATCCATCACGTAATATAACGTCATTACTTTCGCTCCTAGCAGACAAGTTCGTTAGTTCAAACTTTCCTCACTAGAAATTAGAAACCACAGAGCTGAGACTAGCATGAACTAATACAGAAAGGCCCCGCTTCACACTACTTCACTTGACGGTGTTTCATTAATGCAACGGTTTTGAATTATACCCATTCTTCGTTTATTCAGACTTCCTACAATAAACATATTCACCACTCACTATGAACTAAAGACGAAAATATTTTAAGGTTAGTAATGTGTGTAATGTATATGCATTTTTTAGGCCTAGCTATATTGCTCACTTAATATTTGATAGTGTAAACATGTTATCAGCCTTTAACCCTTTGACTGTCGCAACCCCTAATCCTGAGGTGTCTCCTGGTGTCGCAAAATTTAAAAAAAAAAAATTATTTTTTCATATGAAATGATAGAGAATCTTTTCCCGATTGTAATGACACCAAAAAAAGAAATTTGATGGAAAACTGAAGGAATTATGCTCTCGCGAAGTTAGCGACCTCGGCGCTGTTTACAAATCGGCGATTTCGCCCACTTTGAGCCCTATTTTCGGCTAATTTCATTGTTCCAGTCGCCCAAACTCATAGCTATTTCTTTAGAACTCCATTTTTTCTATAGATTGAGTACAAGAAACTGCCCATTTACCGATTTCAACTACCTAATAATGTGGTCAGAAATTTGCAATTTGGCCAATTTCACAAAAACTAAAAAATATGACAATTTCAAAATAAGGTCCAGAATGAACAATGCAGACATTCCTGGCTCTAAAATAACATTTTCTTTGTTCATCAGTCATGTCTCCAGGCCCCTCTGATGTTACTCTTGCTTTCTATTTTGAATTTTTATTCAAACAAAAAATAGAAGACTTACTATTATGCAGACTACTGCAATACTGTAATAATTGTATAAATAACATCAATCCATTCATGACTGCATATTAGAATGGCTAGTTGGACATTTATTGGACAATGGCATCATTTGTTTACTTTTGAACATTGGTAAAAATCAAACATTTCCCCAACTTTGAGCTCCATTTCTAGGTTCTTTTTATAGTAAAATCAAGCAAAATCACCACTATTTCTATAATATGCTTTCCATTCTATCAAATGAAACCAAGAAAACGAGAACACAACCATAAATACTATACAAAAATAGACCACAAAGTCGGCATTTTAATTAAAAAAAACGGTCGGAGTTTTTTTTTTCTCATTATGCACTGCGTGCTCCAGGATTTTTTTTATATGGTGCACACTGACCACACAGACCCATTCTCTCACATGTGGGCCTACCAGCTTTCTCCTGCTTGATTTCAAGCCGCTAGAATTTATGAGTATATATACGTCAAACACGGTACCTTGTAAGACCTATATATACGGCTGCGACAGTCAAAGGGTTAATATGCACTTATATGTGAAAAATGGCAATGATTCACTTTGCAGCGGTTTTTGCTTTATAGCAGTAGCCCAGAACCTAACCTGCTGTATAAGTGGGGCCCTACAGTAGCCCAGAACCTAACCTGCTGTATAAGTGGAGCCCTACAGTAGCCCAGAACCTAACCTGCTGTATAAGTGGGGCCCTACAGTAGCCCAGAACCTAACCTGCTGTATAAGTGGGGCCCTACAGTAGCCCATAACCTAACCTGCTGTATAAGTGGGGCCCTACAGTAGCCCAGAACCTAACCTGCTGTATAAGTGGGGCCCTACAGTAGCCCAGAACCTAACCTGCTGTATAAGTGGGGCCCTACAGTAGCCCAGAACCTAACCTGCTGTATAAGTGGGGCCCTACAGTAGCCCAGAACCTAACCTGCTGTATAAGTGGGGCCCTACAGTAGCCCAGAACCTAACCTGCTGTATAAGTGGGGCCCTACAGTAGCCCAGAACCTAACCTGCTGTATAAGTGGGGCCCTACAGTAGCCCAGAACCTAACCTGCTGTATAAGTGGGGCCCTACAGTAGCCCAGAACCTAACCTGCTGTATAAGTGGGGCCCTACAGTAGCCCAGAACCTAACCTGCTGTATAAGTGGGGCCCTACAGTAGCCCAGAACCTAACTGCTGTATAAGTGGGGCCCTACAGTAGCCCAGAACCTAACCTGCTGTATAAGTGGGGCCCTACAGTAGCCCAGAACCTAACCTGCTGTATAAGTGGGGCCCTACAGTAGCCCAGAACCTAACCTGCTGTATAAGTGGGGCCCAACAGTAGCCCAGAACCTAACCTGCTGTATAAGTGGGGCCCTACAGTAGCCCAGAACCTAACCTGATGTATAAGTGGGGTCCTACAGTAGCCCACAACCTAACCTGCTGTATAAGTGGGGTCCTACAGTAGCCCACAACCTAACCTGCTGTATAAGTGGGGCCCTACAGTAACCCAGAACCTAACCTGCTGTATAAGTGGGGCCCTACAGTAGCCCAGAACCTAACCTGATGTATAAGTGGGGCCCTACAGTAGCCCAGAACCTAACCTGATGTATAAGTGGGGCCCTACAGTAGCCCAGAACCTAACCTGATGTATAAGTGGGGCCCTACAGTAGCCCAGAACCTAAACCTGATGTATAAGTGGGGCCCTACAGTAGCCCAGAACCTAACCTGCTGTATAAGTGGGGCCCTACAGTAGCCCAGAACCTAACCTGCTGTATAAGTGGGGCCCTACAGTAGCCCAGAACCTAACCTGCTGTATAAGTGGGGCCCTACAGTAGCCCAGAACCTAACCTGCTTTATAAGTGGGGCCCTACAGTAGCCCAGAACCTAACCTGCTGTATAAGCGGGGCCCTACAGTAGCCCACAACCTAACCTGCTGTATAAGCGGGGCCCTACAGTAGCCCAGAACCTAACCTGCTGCACAAGCAGGGCCCTACAGTAGCCCAGAACCTAACCTGCTGTATAAGCAGGGCCCTACAGTAGCCCAGAACCTAACCTGCTGTATAAGCGGGGCCCTACAGTAGCCCAGAACCTAACCTGCTGTATAAGTGGGGCCCTACAGTAGCCCAGAACCTAACCTGCTGTATAAGTGGGGCCCTACAGTAGCCCAGAACCTAACCTGCTGTATAAGTGGGGCCCTACAGTAGCCCAAAACCTAATCTGCTGTATAAGTGAGGCCCTACAGTAGCCCAGAACCTAACCTGCTGTATAAGTGGGGCCCTACAGTAGCCCAGAACCTAACCTGCTGTATAAGTGGGGCCCTACAGTAGCCCAGAACCTAACCTGCTCTATAAGTGGGGCCCTACAGTAGCCCAGAACATAACCTGCTGTGTAAGTGGGGCCCTACAGTAGCCCAGAACATAACCTGCTGTGTAAGTGGGGCCCTACAGTAGCCCGAAACCTAACCTGCTGTATAAGTGGGGCCCTACAGTAGTCCAGAATGTAACCTGCTGTATAAGTGGGGCCCTACAGTAGCCCAGAACATAACCTGCTGTATAAGTGGGGCCCTACAGTAGCCCAGAACGTAACCTGCTGTATAAGTGGGGCCCTACAGTAGCCCAGAACCTAACCTGCTGTATAAGTGGGGCCCTACAGTAGCCCAGAACCTAACCTGCTGTATAAGTGGGACCCTACAGTAGCCCAGAACCTAACCTGCTGTATAAGTGGGGTCCTACAGTAGCCCAGAACCTAACCTGCTGTGTAAGTGGGGCCCTACAGTAGCCCAGAACCTAACCTGCTGTATAAGTGGGGCCCTACAGTAGCCCAGAACCTTACCTGCTGTATAAGTGGGGCCCTACAGTAGCCCAGAACCTAACCTGCTGTATAAATGGGGCCCTACAGTAGCCGAGAACCTAACCTGCTGTATAAGTGGGGCCCTGCAGTAGCCCAGAACCTAACCTGCTTTATAAGTGGGGCCGTACAGTAACCCAGAACCTAACCTACTGTATAAGGGGGGGCCCTACAGTAGCCCAGAACCTAACATACTGAATAAGCAGGGCCCTACAGTAGCCCAGAACCTAACCTGCTGTATAAGCAGGAGCCTTATAGTAGCCCGAAACCTAATTTGCTGTATAAGCAGGATCCTACAAGAGCCCGGAACCTAACCTACTGTATAAGCAGTGCCCTCCAGTAGCCCAGAACCTAGGCTGCTGTAAAAGCAGGTCCTACAAGAGCCCAGAACCTAACCTGCTGTATAAGTAGGTGTCCTACAATAGCCCGTAATCAGTGGCATGTTGCTGTTTGAAGGGTCAGTTGAAGTTTTATGTTCTCACACATCTGGCAAGACAACTGAATGAATGAAGTTGAATTTCTTTCTGTCTTTAAGGCACCTGACTTGGTGGAAAATAGTTAATGCAGTAAAAAAAAAAACTTATTAGCAGTTTTCTAAACTGGAGTGTAAGTGACCCCTCTAGCAAGACAGTGATGGAGTGAATGATGATGACAGTGTTTCTTTTTCTCAGGTCACCCTTCCTCAGTAGGAAACAGCCAATGTATTGGTTTATATAAAAAAGAAAAGACCAGCTCTAAGTGATTTGGGTAAGAAAAGAGAAGCATTACAAATAACTGACTTTGGAAAAGAGGTGGCCAAATGTAAGAGATTGACACTAAAACCAAATTTGTAACTTCAAATAACTTTTAAGACACTGGTCATCACCCACCTAAGTAAGGCAACAATAAAAAAAAAATAAAAGAGAAGAAATAAACCATGGAACAGGTGGGGTTTGAACTTAAGTGGCTTACGCGCTAGCCTGGAGTTTCATGACTCGCTTACCATGGGTTCAAACTCCATTTGTTCTGTGGTTTGTTTGCAATCGTGTCATTACGATTTCGTGAGTCAGAAAGAGGAAACACATTCACCATCATTCACTCAGTCACTATCTTGACAACACACTTCAGATGGCCCTCTGAAATGCAAAATGCCCATCCCTCATTCAAAACAATAATATAATTTTAAGTAATAATGGAACAAACCTGGGAGTGATTGGGGAAGTTGTTCATGGCAGTGAGTGTAGTATGGACAACATCTCTGAGGATATGTGGATGGATCTGTTCTCCCATTTGTCCCTTGGTCAAGTTGTACAAGCAGGCTGTTCCAGCCAGCTGGATAGAGCTCTGAGTACTGTGAGTGTTCATCACAGGCAGGATCAACTGCAAAATAATGGTCAAAAATATAAATTTTCTTTTTTCAATGCACCGGCCGTCTCCCACCGAGGTACGGTGACCTAGAAAGAAAAACTAAAGTTTTTCTTTGTACATTTAGTAATTTATACAGGAGAAAGGGTTACAAAATCATTATGAAACTCAATTCTTTGTTGAATTTGTATGGCATTACTGTACTGACAAATTGTGAAACGTGACAAATGCACAGAGCATCCTCCTTGACCTTACAACTGAAGATGCCACTTGTAGGACGTTTTCTTAATCTGTGCATACATATCACTTTCCACAACAATTATTTGTAAACCAGATGCAATGAACATATACATGAACATCGCATTCTCTCTTCCTGCCTGGTCACAGACCGGGCCCCTCTCCAGGTATTCTCCAGGTATACAATATGCTAATACGTACAAGGCTAAGAGATATTCACACAACACTAAATCTAATAGGATACTGTAGCTTCCTTAATGATCCTTGAATAGAGCAAATGTATTAGAAATTTATGGAACAATGAAATCACAAGATTATTAAGTGCTCTATGCCATAGATATGAGCACGACTGAGCTGCCTGACAAAGAAAATGAAAGTGTCATTTTCAAAATGGATGCAATTGTTAAAAAAATAGTTAAAATTTATTATATACAGTTTGAAAAGCCCCTGATTATGATAAATTATATAGCAAACAGAATTATATTCATGTACTCGAGTCAAGTGTCAAGTTCGCTGAGTAGTTAACAGATACATACTTAAGTAAAAGGTCAAACCCTCAGTCTCTCTGATGAAGATACTTACTAACCTTAAACCCAAAGTCTATCTGATGACAATACCCACTTACTAACCTTAAACCCAAAGTCTATCTGATGACAATACCCACTTACTAACCTTAAACCCAAAGTCTATCTGATGACAATACCCACTTACTAACCTTAAACCCAAAGTCTATCTGATGACAATACCCACTTACTAACCTTAAACCCAAAGTCTATCTGATGACAATACCCACTTACTAACCTTAAACCCAAAATCTATCTGATGACAATACCCACTTATTAACTTAACTCTTTCAGGGTCCAAAGGCCAAATTTCAAATTGCACACCAGTGTCCAAGAATTTCCAAAAAAAAATTTTTCTATTTTTTCTTATGAAATGGTAGAGAATCTTTTTCTGAAGGTAATAAAACAAAACATACGAAATTTGATGGAAAATTGATGAAATTATGCTCTTGCAAATTTTGATGTGTCAGCGATATTTATGCATTGACAATTTTGCCGACTTTGATTCCCATTTTAGGCCAATTATATTATTCCAGTCGACCAAATTCTTAGCTATTTCACTAGTATTACTTCTGTTCTATCGAATGAGCACAAGAAATTGCCCAGTCGACTGTTTCAATTACAAAATAGAGTGATCAGAAATTGGTAATTTGGCCAATTTAATGCAAAGTTCAAAATATTCCTATTTCAAAATAGGGTCCAGAATAAACAATGCAGACATTCCTGGAACTAAACTAACATTTTCTCTGTTCATTAGTTATATTTTCAGGCTTTACAAATGAATTCCATTTTGATTTTTCATTCACATTATGAATTTTTATTCAAACCAAAAAATAGAAGATTTACTGTCATGCAATATTGTAATAATTGTATAAATAATATCATCACATTTGTGAATGTATATTAGATCCACCATCTGTCATGTATTAGACGTGTGAGATCGTTTGTTTACTCTTGAACATCGGCAAAAATTTAACATTTCTGCTATTTTGAGCTCAGTTTCAACTCATTTTTATTTCTAAAACCAATCAAAATCATCTCTATTTCTGTAATATATCTTCCATTCTATCAAATGAGACCAAGAAATCGCAAATACAACTATAAAAAACATACGAAAAAACACTGCAAAGTCGCTGTTTTAATAGAAAATCACGGTCTGTTTTTTTTATCTCATTATACACTGTGTGCTGCAGGATTTGTTTTATGTGGTGCACACATACCACATAGATGTATTCTCTCATATCTAGGCCCAAATTTACCACTCACAGCTTATCAGAGTGAGCTGAGCTCATGGCGTAGATCTACTGCATGGACCCTCATAGGGTTAAACCCAAAGTCTATCTAATGATGATACCCATTAACTAACCTTAAACCCCCAAATCTATCTGATGATGATACCCATTTACTAACCTTAAACCCCCAAATTTATCTGATAACAATACCCACTTACTAACCTTAAACCCTAAGTCTATCTGATGATGATACCTGCTTACTGACATTAAACCTAAGTCTATATGATGACAATACCCACTTACTAACCTTAAACCCAAAACCTGTAATAACAATACCCACTTATTTACCTTAAACCCTAAGCCTATAATAACAATACCCACTTACTAACCTTGATTACATCTGGTCTAGGACTTTCAAAATGAGTAGTCAGCATAAAAATTTTATACAGAATTTTCGGTACATATTCAATTCTTTTTGGATATCTTCTGAGCGCTTCAACGAGCTGGTCTGCCCGGGCAACTCCTGTCACCTGTAAGAAATATCATGTATAAAACCTGCAAGTTGTCATTTACTGTATAATCAAAATAACTTTAAACCATTATAGTAATGGTTTGTAAAACTAACTAAGAAGTAATAATGTTGGTAAAATTACCGACAATCTCTCTCTCTCTCTCTCAACAAGTCGGCCGTCTCCCACCGAGGCAGGGTGACCCAAAAAAGAAAGAAAATCCCCAAAAAGAAAATACTTTCATCATCATTCAACACTTTCACCACACTCGCACATTATCACTGTTTTTGCAGAGGTGCTCAGAATACAACAGTCTAGAAGCATACACATATAAAGATACACAACATATCCCTCCAAACTGCCAATATCCCAAACCCCTCCTTTAAAGTGCAGGCATTGTACTTCCCATTTCCAGGACTCAAGTCCGACTATATGAAAATAACCGGTTTCCCTGAATCCCTTCACTAAATATTACCCTGCTCACACTCCAACAGATCGTCAGGTCCCAAGTACCATTCGTCTCCATTCACTCCTATCTAACACGCTCACGCACGCTTGCTGGAAGTCCGACAATATGTAAAGTAAAAGGACACAAGTGCAACTAATGTGACATTTTTATTGTGGCAACGTTTCGCTCTCCAGGAGCTTTATCAAGCCATTACAGCTTAACAAAGCTCGTGGTGAGTGAAACGTTGCCACAATAAAAATGTCACATTAGTTGCACTCGTGTCCTTTTACTTTACATTACTAACAAGTAGATGAATAAGTCGTGTTTGCAACACCTGGGTATTTTTTCTGATGAATAAGAGACATGTGCAACAATTGGGTATCTTTTTTTGTGGAGATGTTTAGCTAACCAATGGCTTTATCAGTCCACCACAGAATATAGTGGAAGATGAGGTGAGGTAATATAAGGTGATCAGTCCCTCAGCCTTGACAGGTTTTCGGCCCCTTACCTTGATAAATCTTTAAATTTATCAAGGTTTTAACACAACCACAATGTAGATAACCAAACGATTAGTCTGCCCAAAATGCACTGCATACTGGTGGTTTCCTTTCACGCCTAACAATGCTCTATTACATTATGGAAAAATTGTGAACAGGTGATACAAGATGCAAAATAACCATGGGGGGAATTGAATGATAGCTCTAGGCCTTTTATGTTGCAACTGACACATCAGGAGCTTGCAATGTTGCAGAAAAGAGGTGGTGGTCCAAGCAAACATGCTCACAGGAAGCACCCTTGATGGAGTGTTTGCTTGGACCTACTCATTTCTGTAACATTGCAAGTTCCTGATGATGTGTTCATTGCAACACAAAAGGCCTGTTTGCAACACCTGGGTATCTTTTTTGGCAAATAAGACACATGTGCAACAATTAGGTATCTTTTTTTTGCACACTGTGCTGGCATGCAGGTACATGTATACATTAAAATCACTAAGAGTTTCTCTGCTCTTGAAGACACCATATTAATAATCGCTTGCGCATATTAAATGTTGTATATTACATTAATATAGACATTTCCATTAATCCACGTATGATATTTTTTACAAAATTATATAAGAAACACATTACATAACACAAACATGATACATACACTCACCGTATAAAAATTGACAAAGATGAGAAGTGTTTACCAAGGTATGTAGGAGTGTTGGAAGAATTACGTTTTCTCTAGTCAAACACGTTACTGGGGGATAACTGTAGAAAATATTCCTTAAGTATGCCTTAACTCTATCTATAGCTATTCATGACCCTTGTGGGTTTAGCACTTTTGTATTATGATTATAATAAAAATAATATTATCATTCGCTCTAAAAATGGTGCATTGCATGAGAATGGGAGTGTTGCTGTTTATTTATTCTTCTGTATTAACTTGTCAGAGCATCATTCCTTCTAAAAATGTTACGTGAAAACGGAAGTGTTGTTCTTTATTTATTCCAGTGTACCACTGTGGAGACAACTTGTACACAATGTAAGGTGTTTGTAAGAACGCATATCAACCATTTGTAACACGCTGATTTTCAGGAACATTAATTGTGCATTATGAGAGAATTTACTGTATTATAATAGTAATAATAAAGGAAGAGAAAACACCTTGGGCAACTTTTTCAAGTGAGAATGGTTGGATCTGAGAGGAACGTGACCTCCCAGTGATTGCTTTCTTTTTTCTATTACTCTACACCTCTCCTTCCGACAGTATACAAGTCTCCACACTGCCGCTTGATCTTCACACTGTTTCAAACTATGGAACAGAACTCTTCTCTAGGCTGAGGGACTGACAACCTCAAATCTACGACTTCAAGGGTGATGGACTGATTACATCGTCTTCACATCTCTACCACTCCTGCCTACTTTCTGTACTCGAATGAAGAAGCCTACTGTGTAGGCGAAATGTTTCGGATAAAAGATGCCTAACTGTTGCCCATGTGTCTTACTTACCAATAATAATTACAATCATTGCCAGAAGCAAGGGGCTAGCAACCATTCTCCTGTATAAATTACTAAATTTTAGAAGAGAAACTTTTGTCTTTCTTTTTAGGTCATCCTGCCTCAGTGGGATATGACCAGTTTGCTGAAGATAATAATAATAATCTTTATTTCTACAAGTACATGATACAACTTATAAAGATCATAGCTGACATCAATGACATACTATAAGAAAGCTCCTGGTTATGCAGAGCATTTTGGGCAAATTAGGTTAATTTTGTCTCCAGGATGCGACCCACACCAGTCGACTAACACCAGGAACCTATTTACTGCTAGGTGAACAAGGACAGCAGGTATCTTACAGTTACATGCCCCAATGTCTCCACCCATACCGGGGATCGAACCATGGACCTCAATGTGTGAGCTGAGTGCTCTACCAACCCAGCTACAAGGCAAGGGCCAGCAGTTATTAAAATGCCAGATTGACTAGCCATGCCTTAAAAGTACAGTATAGTGTTATAAAATATTACAAATACTACAATATAAACCATTAGTAAACATACCGTGACATTGTAGCCATCTAGAAAGACAGTGTCTAAGCAGAGAGATGTCAACATCAGCCCCAGGAATTCAATCTTAGGATGGTGCTTAAGAAAGAAGTAAAGATCTTCTAACTTGGTTTGATCCTGACCAGAGATGTCAAGGGAGCAGAGATTAGGACCAAATTCTCTAGTACTGAGCAGACTTGGAACTATGGGACACGTTTCCATCAATCGATCAATGGGATCCTGGTTACTCACATTTTCACTAATATCCAGGTGTATTAGTTTCCTGAGTTCTAGCAAAACTCTCTTGGTTTCCTCCATTCTTAAGACTTTAAGATTATACATATTAAGAGATCTCAGAGTATTTTTACGTATTCTTAAACATTCAACAGATTCTAATTTTGTACAGTTAGAAATGTCAAGTGAGGATAACATCTGAAGGTCAATGCACACATTCAAGAGAGCATGAGAAGCCAGCTCAGTTCCACTAACATTAAGAATATGTAAATTTTTTAACTTGCTAAGTCCTACATACAATTTTGTAGAGAGCACACTACCCTTAGAGTTTGCTTTTGCTATATCAGAAGTGAACGATGAGCCACTAACACTCAACGCTTGAATATTATTCATCGTCCATTCGCCAAAACAACTAATAAGCTCGTCCACTGACACTTTCGTAAGGTTTTTCACTTCCACTGACTGTATCTGATGACTTCTCAGGATTTTCAGACCTTTGCAAGTCACATTGTCAGCATGGTGTAACGTCACTTGGCTTAAGCGTAGTACCACTGGATCAAACAAAGTCATATTTAAATCATCTAGCAAACCTTTTCTGTCCAGTGTCATCAGGAGGAGATTGGCAACTTTTTGGTGACAAAATGCATTAGAATCCCTGAAATTTAAACATTATATTAGTTTTAAAATAGTATTCTGAGATTTAGAACCATAAATTAGCTTCTAAATAATCATTGGAGTGTCAAATAATTATTCTGAACATTGTCATTTTTTATGTATTTAAATTAACAGTTAAAAAGCAGCCATCTGAACAGAACTAAGACATGATACAAAATACACCAAGGAAGGGTGACTCGAAAAAGAAGAAACACTTTCATCATCATTCACTCCATCACTGTCTTGTCAGAGGCGTGCCAATACTAAATTCAAAAACTGCAATATATTTCGACTTCAGTAAATACTGAACCATAAGAAGCTCTAAAATTTGGCACTATCTGCCAGAAGATTCCAGAAATTCCCTATCTGTCAACCATTTCAAAACTACTGCTAAAAAGCACTTCCTTTCCCTAATGTGATTCGTGACAATAACGAATTTCTTCAAACCGTCTTGAAATTTGCTTTTTGAGTTTCCAATTATTGTTCGTCCTACTATATTTCTTGTTTCTGCTTTTTTTTCTATCCTGCATATTGAACCATATGTTTAAGAAAGGATGAAGGGAAGGGGTAAAGGAAGTTTTTGTGTGCGAGGGGCTTGGACATCCAACTGGCATGTTTACCTGGAGTTTACCTGGAGAGAGTTCCGGGGGTCAACGCCCCCATGGCCCGGTCTGTGACCAGGCCTGCTGGTGGATCAGAGCCTGATCAACCAGGCTGTTACTGCTGGCTGCATGCAATCCAGCGTATAAGCCACAGCCCGGTTGATCAGGTACCGGCTTTTGTGCGTGTTTGATAGGAGTGGAGGCAAATGGTTTTTGGGACCTGACAAGCTGCTGGAGTGTGAGCAAAGCAACATTTTGTGAAGGGATTCAGGGAAACCAGTTAGGTGAACTTGAGTCTTGGAGGTGGGAAGTCCAGTGCCTGCACTCTGAAGGAAGAGGTACGGATATGTTGCACATTTTGGAACTGTAGTATTAGTATGCCTCTGGCAAGACTGATGGAGTGATGATGAAAGTATTTCTTCTTCTTTGGGTCACCCTACCTCACTGAGAAACAGTAGATGTGTTAAAATACAAAAAAAAAAAAAAAAAAAAAAAAAAAAAGAGCACTTGCCAAAATGTACTGCAGTAAGTGCCTGGTGCATCATCATCCATGCCAAAATCAAAAATAGATTACCTAAAGTATAACCTGTTGGTGAAATCATTAAGTGAAAAGCGTGAGGTGCACACTTCCTTAACATGGCTGGCAATGAACTCCACTACCAGTTCCTGCAGGCTCCCTGGGCTCTCTACCATCCTGTCATAGTCCCTGTAGAAAATAAAACACTTGAATAATTTTTAAATGCAATTTTTTTACCTAAATTAAGTAAAAGAAATGCGTATCAAAGTGAACAAAGATGCAAACTGACATATTATTAATCAGAAATAATAATACAGCCTCTCCTCACTTAGTGATGTACTCGTTTACCGACGACTCTAACTTATGAAGGGCTCTCTGACCAATATACATACCTAAATACAGTGGACCCCCGGTTAACGATATTTTTTCACTCCAGAAGTATGTTCAGGTGCCAGTACTGACCGAATTTGTTCCCATAAGGAATATTGTGAAGTAGATTAGTCCATTTCAGACCCCCAAACATACACGTACAAACGCACTTACATAAATACACTTACATAATTGGTCGCATTCGGAGGTAATCGTTATGCGGGGGTCCACTGTAATGTACATTATTTAGGTATGTATGATTTCCTCTGTTCTGTTTAATACAATATACAGTACACTACTGTATAAACATTTAAAAATATATTAAAATGTTATAAATGGTGCAAAAGTGACATTAAAACAATATGAGAGATGGTTGACACAAATCCACTATCATTACAGCACGCTTCTCACTTAGCGATGAATTTGTTTACCGACGTGGACTCACGAATGGAACACCGTCGTTAAGCGAGGAGAGGCTGTACTATATTGTACAGTGTAAATAAAGCATGGAATAGGCGAGGCTTGAACTCACTGCAAGTGAGACCTAAAACTCCCGGGCCAGTGTGATAACCACTGGACCAGCTGGCTCTATCAAAATTCATCCAACTAAGTACAGTGGACCCCCGCTTAACGATCACCTCCAAATGCGACCAATTATGTAAGTGTATTTATGTAAGTGCGTTTGTACGTGTATGTTTGGGGGTCTGAAATGGACTAATCTACTTCACAATATTCCTTATGGGAAAAAATTCGGTCAGTACTGGCACCTGAACATACTACTGGAATGAGAAAAGTTCGTTAACCGGGGGTCCACTGTATATTTCTATACACAATATGGAGGTTAACATGGGCCACCACGGTGACTACAAATGTAGTTTTTACAAACGAATCCCACACCAGCATGGCAGTGGCAAACTCTAGCTCAAGTCCCTTCAAGGCTGCCATCATGACTCGTGAAACTGTAATAACACGACTGCAGTGTATTCATAAGTGAACATGGGGAAGAAAAAAGGAATTTGTAATGTAGTAGGTCGACCAACTTACGATGTTCCAACTTTTGAAGTTCTGCATCTACAATATTGGCAGTTTGGAACCAATTAGTTACCTCTCAATGTTAATCTGCAGTTACGATCATTGCAGGTACTCAAATTTCACTACAGTCTCTCCTCACTTAACAACAGAGTTCCGCTCCTAAGACCAAGTCAGTAAATGAATGCGTCACTAAGCAAGGAACATACATAGTATAATGGTAGTAGGTTTGTATCAACCATCTTTCATATTGTTTTAATGTCACCTTTCCACCATTTATAATATTTTTAGTATATTTTTAAATGTTTATACAGTAGTGTACTGTATATTGTAATAAATAGAATAGCTCTAGTATAGATTTTTAAGGTATGCATACTGGTCAGAGAGACTGTCATAAGTCTGAGTCGTCGGTAAACTAGTACGTTGCTAAGTGAGGAGAGGCTGTATTGTATACTGTTCGTAATAAGTTCATATTTTAACAAATATACTCATATTGTACTTTGTTTATGTTCATTTAATAATAATAATATAATGCATTTTGGGCAAATTAGGTCAATTTTGTCCCAGGATGCCACCCACACCAGTCCACTAACACATAGGAACCCATTTTACTGATGAGTGAACAGGGACAGCAGGTGTCTTAAGGAAACACGTCCCAATATTTCCAGCCGCTCTGGGAATCGACCTCCAGACCTCAGTGTGTGAGCTGAGTGCGCTAGAAATCGAGCTATGGGATGCCTAGTGCATTTATTGAGAGTACGTATTTGTTTTAGACTTAGATTTATAATTTATGATTTTCTTATATCTGAATTATATTTTTTCAGGCTGAATTATAATTCTTATTAAATACACTGGCATTTTGAGTATTTTCTTCTTAATAAATGTGTGGAGAGTTCATGTTTTTCAGGCAGCTTAAATAATTAGGCTATTTGGTGAGACTGTGGGTGGCCTGGTGGCTAAAGCTCCCGCTTCACACACGGAGGGCCCGGGTTCGATTCCCGGCGGGTGGAAACATTTGACACGTTTCCTTACACCTGTTGTCCTGTTCACCTATCAGCAAATAGGTACCTGGGTGTTAGTCGACTGGTGTGGGTCGCATCCTGGGGGACAAGATTAAGGACCCCAATGGAAATAAGTTAGACAGTCCTCGATGACGCACTGACTTTCTTGGGTTATCCTGGGTGGCTAACCCTCTGGGGTTAAAAATCCGAACGAAATCTTATCTTATCTTATCTTATCTTAATGCTAACCACTCCCTTGTACTGAACATTTTCAGTGGACGAGAAGAGTAGAGCTAAGCCCATGGTAGTTGATTTAAAAAACTTTATTATGTTGTGCAGTTTTTAAGGTTTCCAATGGTGGAAGCACCAGCACACAGAAAAAAAAACTGCCCGAGATCTTGTGTAATCCTCACAACCATTAAAACAGTGAATGTGTTTACATTATGTTAATGTGCTATGTCTAATATTAAGCAGTGTGTAAGCATTAGTATTAACCCTTAAACTGTCCAAACGTAGATCAACGTTTTTTCAACATTTCAAAGTACGTAAAAAAATGTAGATCTTCTTTTTGCTTTTTTTACATTTGAAAACGTGTAAAAAAATCTTTGATCTACGTTTTTTTTTTTGTTATATTTGAAAATATGTAAAAAAACGTATATCTACTTTTGGAGCACTACGCATGTGAACATAGACCTGTTTGGACAGTTTAAGGGTTAACCTGCCCAAAATGCTCAGGCATGTTAGGGTCTTTCTATATAAGAACATAAGAACATAAGAAAGAAGGAACACTGCAACAGGTCTACTGACCCATGTGGAGCAGGTCCATGTCTCCCTCCAGATTAAACCAATGACCCACCCCCAGATTAGCCCAATGACCCACCCAGTCTGGTCACGTCCACTCAAGGACGGAGCACTGCACCAGACCCAGCATCACAAGCTAGTCAGGTCCAACTCACACCCACCCACACCCACTCATGTATTTATCTAACCTATTTTTAAAACTACACAACGTTTTAGCCTGAATAACTGTACTCGGGAGTTTGTTCCACTCATCCACAACTCTATTACCAAACCAATGCTTTCCTATATCCTTTCTGAATCTGAATTTTTCCAACTTGAAACCATTGCTGCAAGTCCTGTCTTGGCTGGAAATTTTCAGCATGCTATTTACAACCCCTTTATTTACTCCTGTTTTCCATTTATACACCTCAATCATATCCCCCCTAATTCTACGCCTTTCGAGAGAGTGCAGATTCAGGGCCCTCAGTCTGTCCTCATAGGGAAGATTCCTGATACATGGGATCATCTTTGTTATCCTCCTCTGTACGTTTTCCAGAGCATTTATATCCATTCTGTAATATGGTGACCAGAACTGAGCAGGATAGTCTAAATGAGGCCTAACCAAGGATATATAGAGTTGAAGAACAACCTGAGGACTTCTATTATTTATACTTCTAGATATGAAGCCAAGAATTCTGTTAGCTTTATCGCGAACACTAATGCACTGTTGTCTTGGTTTTAAATTACTGCTAACCAGAACTCCTAAATCCTTTTCGCAATCAGTAGTATTAAGATCTACATCATTTAGTTTATATGTGGCATGGTTATTTACCTGTCCAACATTTAGAACTTTTCATTTGTCAATATTAAACTGCATCTGCCACTTCTCCGACCATTGCATCAGTCTATTCAAATCATCCTGGAGTGCTTGTCATGCCCCTATGGTTAACCTTCCTTTAATATTACATTGCGGTTATTTCCTTTAATAGCTAAATTGGAAATGAACGTCCTTGTATTATTAAGGCTAATTCTTGTTACATAAATCATAATTGTTAATATGGCCATGATAAGTTTAATTGGAGGTATAGTAACCTGCCTGCCGCCCGGTGTGCTGGTGTATGGTTAGCCGTGATGTTCGATGGTTATACCCCCCCTTCCCCCCCCCCCTTTATGTTCAACTACTCTACTGAGTGTTGGTGAGTCACATCACGTGACCCACTTTACCTGTATGCTCAAGGTTGAGGGACGAGCAGTGAAGAAGTAGCAGCCAACGAGAACACTCCTGCTCGTCTCTGGTAACTGGCCAAGGTTTATTAGCCGGCCTGGACATATTCTGTTTTATTCTGACTGCTTCCAATTGGGAAACAAGACTTTATACATTAAAGTAATCTCCATTTATATATATGTTATATCTAGGATCTCCTCCTAATCGTCTGTTATGAAAGCCTTATATATACAGTGGACCCCCGCATAGCGAACGCCTTGCATAGCGAACATTCCGCATAGCGAACGTTTTGATCGCTAAAATTTTGCCCCGCATAGTAGACAAAAACCCGCTCAGCGAACTTCGTCCGAGACGCGTCCAATGTGCGGCCTCAGCCAGCCTCACATGTGCCGCCTGTCCCATTGTTTACCAGCTAGCCTCCGCGGTAACATTCAAGCATACACTCGGAATATTTCGTATTATTACAGTGTTTTCGGTTCTGTTTGTTGAAAATAAGTGACCATGGGCCCCAAGAAAGCTTCTAGTGCCAACCCTGTGGTAAAAAGGGTGAGAATTAGTATGGAAATTAAGAAAGATTTTGAAGGGTTTGGGGCTAACCCTGAGAAGCCTATGCCAGTTGTGGAATCCATTGTGCCTACTTCAAAAATTAAGGAAATGTGTGCACAGTGGGTTTGAACTGCAAACCTTTATGGATGAAAATCACCCTGACACAGCTGTTGCAAGGCGTGCTGGTGACTATTTCAATGACAATGTTATGGCCCATTTTAGACAAATCGTAAAGGAAA